AAGAAAGTCTAGAGTGAATCTGTCAACAAAAACGGCAATGACGTAGTTGCCCACCCAATAGATTTGAATGAAATGAGATTATTGCGATAGACTTACCTCCACGTGGTGCACCCTGGGCAACGTATTCTCATACGGCAAAAAAGTCTATTAACCGGCAGTTTACTTCTGACTTCAAAATACTATGGCACGACTGCTTGTCATATTCGACCGCTTTCACAGTACCCATCTTACCCTTTTCTCTGCCTTTGTGTCTGTCTGTCTCTTTTACATCTGTGAATCGCTCTCCTGTTCCCCACCCCTCGACTTTCTGCTACTTTGATGAACCTTCCCTCTGTGAAGCCCGAAGTCAATTAAACGCCTGCCATTTGAAATAAATAAATATATTCGAATGAAGATGTTCAAATATGCGGAGTACCCGACGCTTTCATGGCTGAAGAAAGATATAACATGCGGACCCAGGCAGACTTGAAGATGCGACCGTGATACTAATCGAGCAGTGACCTCTAAATTAGCCTCCAATCAATAGTCATTGCAGCGGTTAACAAACCTTTTATGGTATTTTAATGACTAAGTTGTGTGATAGACACACTTCCCAAATAAGCGCATTTTCACACTGTGCGTATGCTTTCCCCAATATTGTTGAGTGCATTTAGCGGCAATATAGAAGTCTCTAACTTGAAACTAAACAATGAAGATAAAGTGGATAACTTCTATCCTCTAGATGTTTGCGCTTTAGAAACTGCAATTGCTTAATCACAGGCCTATTGCCGTTAGTAATAGCTCTGGCATGATTTTCGTCACCCACGTGAGGTACAATTGCAAGGAGTGAAAACCTCCCTCCTCGAGTTGTGTATTTTTGGGAGGATGAAATTTGCGTAAACATTTTCACTGCGGACAAGTGGTTGATTAGTTGGAGAGCCAGCGAATGTGCTGCCGATATGGAGCGTTAAGTATTGTTTTAATAGTTTTAACCAGTTTTAAGAAAATTTTAGGGCAATAATTGTTGCAATTTTATTAGTTCTATGAAATCATATTGGCCGATTTGAAGCCCAATGGAAGTTAATTGAATAAGGCAGTGATTCATTTTGGGTTTCCAGGTTTTTGTTAAAGAAGCCTTAACTGAACCCAATGTGAATGGACTTACAATTTTCATGGAAAATTGAGAATCACAGAGAAAATGTGAACTTTGTGGAGTGCACAAAGCCATTAAGGTTTGTCAGTTGGATCTCATTCACCCATAGAACATTCTGGAACCTGCCTCTGTGCAAGCACAAAACTCTTACCCAATCGGTAACCAAATCAGATATTCCGCTACATACTTTTTCCTCCTTAAACATCAATAAATGGAATACCCGCTCAACCATTATCACCTCACTGTTTACAATTGAATCTCTCTTGGCTGAGTATTCGGGATTGATGAGACAAGAATTGATATCACTGCCAAGGACTGCCTTGTCGTCGTGTTCAATTTATTTCAGCCATTCTGCTGTGTGGCTTCATTTTAAACTCTCCTTGAAATCTGGTGACTCATTAAAGCCTTCCCCCCCCCCATAGAAGAGAACTGGAAGGAATTTTCACACTAATAGTAATGAGACAATTAGTAGGTTCAACTCTGTTGTCTACTTAATAACATAATCAGTAGGTAGGGGAATTCACAATGCCATTTTATGGTGCCACAATGTTGTTTTTTTGTGCATGTGAAATTTTCCATTTCTGACTATATGGATAAACAATGGTTGTGAATGAAATTCGATAATCGTGGTTTACTGGTTATCTACTAAGAACTGGCATATTAGAACAAATTTGAATATTTATCGAAATCCTTTTTTTTATCGAAGGGAGCATTATCAGTTGGTTTTCAGTTAGGTAAACTTTGGGTGCTGCGATGATGAGATTCAAAGAGAAGTTTTGTTCCTTGTATGACATGAAAGGACAGTTTCGTTTTATAACTTAAATGGACCAAGATTTCACTTCATTTTAATAGGAAATATTTAAAAGAAAAAAAAATAACTCGAATGGGAGAGCAAAGCAAATCCCTCCATCTTTGAGTGATATTTATCGAGTGATTGTGGCTTGATGTGCAAAGTGTACCCTGCATTAGTTTCAACGTCGTCTCAACAACCTTTTCAACGAGAAGGGGGGGGGGGAAGGGTCACGCTTGTCGGAAAACAAGAAGTGGTTGACATGACCTTGCAATCACATTTATAAATATTTATGAGGCAATTCTTAAATAGCACAAGCATTTGGACCTAGTTGCACTAAAAGGCGATTTGGAATAAACACCGTTGAAGTAGAAGTACCTGCTGGTAAGTTGGAGCTGACATTTTACCCTCCACAGAAGAGGGAAGAGTACCGCCCAGCCCCAGGTTGTGGTAGGCTCCTCACTACCCTCAAAACTTCAAGACTTAATACTTCGAGAAGGAAGAACCAATCAATTCTAGAACAAAGTTGGCAGACCGACACCCCCAGTTAACATCAAGTTATCCCAGTCATTCCTTATATTACTGTAGAAAGCCACAACACTCTTCGTCTAAGCTACTACCGTATTTTGCAAATTTAACCCACCACAAACAATCAGCACTCAGGGCATTACTAAAACAACCAGTGGCAAAAAAATATCAACCTTGAGAAGTAGGTATTATACACGCTTTACTTGAACCAATGATCACTTGGCCAGTCAAGTAATAAAACAGCTACAGAGAGTCTAGACAAGAGAGGTAGAAAAGGTGGTGGGAAATCAATAAATACTATCGTCAATCTTCTGTACAAAGAGAGAGAGAGAGAGAGAGAGAGGGAGGGAGGGAGAGTCAGAGGCATGAATCATCACCCAGAGCCCATAGGGCCAAGATTAACCTCTCGTCGAATGGTTTCATATGTGAGCATAGAGATGGCGGTGGCAGGTAGAACTTTCACCAAATTGGCCCCAAGGCCGCGGTAGAAACCCACCAGGCCCTCTCCTTTCCAGATGGCTTGGAGAAGAGAGGGTACTGTGACGGGTTCTGGCCTTCTGATGGAGGTGGTCATGGAGGTGGAGAAATCGGTGGTTAATCCAGCAGCAGTGGCAGATTGAAGGATAGCGGGTGTGGAAGGGGGTTTAGTGTGGTAGTAGGCAGTCGCCTGCAATTTCGCTCTTATAAGGGCCACTGGATACGTTACTACGATGCCCAGCATAGAAGATGTAGCCGCAATGAACGGAATTATGTGAGAGGGAGGGTGAACATACAGATTTCCACAGCTGGAATAAAATAAAATTCGACAAGTCACACTATCGAAGTGATTGAAATATGAAATCGATTTATACTTAAACTTGCAACAACTAGCATAGATTAAAAATCAAAGACGCCAATTGGAGTAGCATGTTATTCAAGAGGAATTCGAAAAATTGTAATTTGTGAGAGGAAAATTTCGAGTTTTCAAGAGTGAAGGAACCGTTGCAACCTCAAATTACATAAATTTATTCAAATGTGTCTGGCAGCATCAGGCAAATTGATCAACTTCAAGCATATAAGATTCTGCACAACTTTAAGGAACAAGAATTTTTGACAGCCAATCAAACGAAAACCATTGTGGCCCATATTTCTCCTCAATTGGCGCTATCGAATTAAGTTTTATAATTAAAGAGGGAAAGTCCCCTCACACCAACTGGAACTTATGCACAAAATAAGAGAAGCTGTCAATATTACATGAATAAGAAAGAGAAGGACGACGATTTGACACCTTGAAAAGAAATAACAAAGACTCAAGAACATCGACCATTTCAGGATCAAGTCAGAGATTCGCAAACAGCAAACGAGGAAGCCAAAACATAAGGCCAGCACTAAGACACCACTTCCAGCTAACACATACAATTACGCTTTTTTGTCTGATTCAACTAGATTTGGACCAGCTTAACAACCACATGCTTCAGCAGGTAGATGGAGATGAGGTAGCTGAGGGGAAAAAGTACCTGTAATTGGGAAAGACGCGCGGAGATAACTGGAGAATTTGACTCATATACCGATGGATGTACATTGACTTCAGCCACTAATAAAGGGAAGGAAAGAGAGAATATCAGAAAATCCACTAGGAAAAATGTAAAGTCATGTGGAAGTGATAAGAAGTACATACTTCATAAGTAGCCAGCTCGATACCTGCGTAGGGAATAACCCCGACAAGATTGACTCCATATCCTCGGAAGAAGCCCAGAAATCCCAGCTCTTTGTATATCTTTCCAGCGCAATCCCACAAGGATTTGTACTGGCCGGTTTTTCGAAGGCACATTCGAGTTTTAAGGACCTAGAAAAGTTGCCCAAAAGTGGAGAAGGTAAGATATACTGTTTCATTAGAACAATGCACGGGCTATTAAAGGAAAGCAAAACGTACTTCCATTGGATAGACAATAGTTTGAGCAGTAATTCCAGCCAAAGAACCGGCAGCGAATTTGGTGATCACAGGATGCTGATCAAAGAAGCCATCTTCATCCACGTCCATAAGAAGACGCTTGTATCGTTCATAGGTGGTGTATTTGGCAGCAGTTTCTGGAGCAATCTTGATGGAGTTTATGAGATTTCCTCGCCAAAGAGAAAATGCACCCCCCTCCTTGAGCATATACCGATAAGCTGAAGAAGAGGAGGAAGAGGAAGAATGATTATGACAGAAAAAACCTTGGAATTTCATCTTTACCTATTGAATTGCTTTCTACACACACACTTTTCTCTTACAACTAACAAAAAATGGTAGTCAGTAGGCCAAGAAGCGAGCAGAAATGAGGTAGAGGGCATTGTGTAATCAAGCAAATGACACACAGTGAGGTGTGGAATTATTTTATCAGACGAACAACGGAGGCAAAATAGAAAAAAATCAAGTTAGACTATCCAAATATGGACACTTTGTCACAAGTCTACTTCTTCTAGTCATACCTCATTTGCCCCTATTCTTCTGCTTTTGAAAGAGATTAGGTGTGCTGTTGTTAATACAATGCGAGGAAATAGACATAAGTGTTAATAGTTTTGCTAAAGCAATTGCTCCGACGGAAGCCAAACTAAACAAGAGCAATAACCAGTACCGATGTATATGTGGGAAGACAAATTGAAACTTTTTACTGCCAAAGATCTAATACGAAAGGTTGAAAGCGCCACAATCGAGAAACATCAATAACTTCTTCAATTAAAACATCTAAAATAATAAGCCCACAAGTAGAACTTTCAAATAGAGAAAATGAATTTTGAAGAAGCCGCCTCAGATTTTTCAAGTTTAGAATAACATAATGATAGCTAAAGTACATACGAAAACAAAGAATTCTTAAAATGCCAAGAATGGTTCATAGAATTATAGTTCAGAGTTCATACAATATCAAATAACCATGGTATGACAACTAGAAGGAATAAGGCACAAGGTATCAAGGAAATCGTTGCTTCAATGAGTTAAAATTTGATAAAATTATAAAATGCATCAAAAACACGCAGTGGTAACCGCTCACCTTCCACAAACCCACTCTCTTTATGCTTATATCCGTAAACCTGGCGCATCAATTTCAGTCTATCAATGGGGGCCGTGCAGGTTCGAGAAATGACTCCGGCCGTTCCACCAGCAATAAACTGGAGTAAGTCCCTTTTTAGAACATGCTCGTGTTTCATAAATTGAGGGATAGCGACTACCGGATCCACGGAGAGATCAAGAACCTAAAAAGTCATAAAATGCTCCAAAAATGCATACAAATAAAAGGGGCATAGAATTAGCAAAAAGAAAATTACTGCGCCATGTCGCCAAAACTGTGTAACACAGGCAATATTAGTAATAGGCAGAAATAAAAGAAATTTTCTCCACTCTTCATATTCAATGCGGTCGTTTTTATTTCTATCAATACGTCGAAGTAGATGTTTGGCTTCATCGCCATCAACAGGAATGCCCAATGTCATGAAATAGGCCTGAATATCCATATAATCAACCTTTCCTTGCATGTTCCTATCCATTTGAGCATAGATAGGGGAAAGGAGACGATCTTGTTCATGGACATAGTGTGAAAATTGTTCTGCATTTACATAACCATGTTCACTGTCAACACCACATCGTTCTATGAAAATCTAAGAACAAAATCTGAGTAAATTCACCAATTCGATTGGCGTGTTAGCTTACCTCTGCTAAAACATCCAGGTTGTTATTAGTTAGCTTTAAGTCGAATTGTCTGAGAAAAAATTTTATATCCTCCTTTGAAATTAATCCATCTCTATCAAGATCAATCTGTAGAAAGAGTTTTTGTGTAGGAGAAATAGTCTCTGGAATCGAAAAGAAGGGAAACTCGAACCTCATAGCCTCACGCTAAGCTTCGGACGGGACAGAGAGATCGCACAATAATGACTTTGATCAAAAGCAGCAAATATTATGAAAATGTTTGATGAAAAATTAAATTGCGGACATTAAATTTATTTAGATTTTTATATTTAGTGTGAACAAATTAAAATTTATTATTAAAGTTGGTTATGATTATGCTCAAATTATCTGACACTCAATATTTATGATCGATAATGATCTCTAAAGATAATTGATTTATTTTAAGTAATGCTATTGTTTAATAGTACCCATACTGATTAATATCTATTTTACTCTATTTTTTAATAGAATTTCGTCGTTTGAATTCATCAAAAGTTTTGCATTGAGGGAAATTCTAAGCCACCGTGCGTGTTTCCTTATGTGATTTAAAGCTCATGCACAGATTGAATAGACGGGTCACTAAGAAAATTGGTCAAAACCTTTTAAACCCAAAATTCAGTCGAAATAATCTTATATCTAATGTGGTGATCTAAAAGGAGTCTCGATAGAAGATTTGGTTTCGCTCAAACTTAACATTTACATAAATCTCTGAGAGATAGAATTATGACAATTTTGTGGGAAATGAAATGCGTCAAATTTTAAAGTGCTTATCGCTTTCTATAAAGTGCCATAAGCTATGTCTGCTTCCAAGTTTGCATAAGATTTGTCTATATTTTGGAACCTTATTTTAAATTGCAATGACTATCGGGGATATAAAGAAATAAAAAACGAAAAAAAGCCACTTGAGTGAGTCTTATTAATCGATATGCACTTTCAAATTGTGCTTCGTTACAAATATAGTTCTGGATTAAATTTTGATTTCTCTCAGATTATATTTTAAATACCGCCGTTAAAATTAAATTTACTAGTTATCGAAAATCAAATAGATAAATTGTCTATGTTAATATTTTGTATTACATTTGCTAATCGGGTCATTATAAATAACTAAGTTTAGAAATAACATCAAAGCGTAGCTAAATGTAAATATTATTTTGTAGTTCATTATTCTCCCTTTGTTCAGATTTTTCAGATACTTTTACTTGTATAACTTTCTTTCGACAATTCTTCACATAGCGAATTTGGGGCATATAAATTCACTAATCATAAATTATTCTAACCTGTGTGTTTGCCTTATTTTGTATAAATAGCCATTAACTTGTTATCAAGCACTCAATGTGTAGGTTTATTTTTTGAGCAGAAAATGGTTATGTAATCGAAATTTTCTCCTCAATTGTTCATTTCCAATGGACAGATGATGTTTTATGTCTGGTGGCTATAGCATTTCTCAACCTAAAGAGAAAAATTTATCGATGATTTGAGACCTTTTCTTTGGTCGCTACGTTGTTTTCAAACAAAGCCGCGTTTATTTCGAAAAACAATGGAAGATTATCGGACATTTGTTTTGCCTATGTTAAAATATGCAAATGGTAAAACATATGGTTATAATTTTCCTTAAAAAATTTAATTTTACGAAACGCTAATCATGGAGTAAAAGGTATCAGAGCCCAAAGAAAAAGTGATATATAAAAATATTATTTTTAAATAGGGTAATACCTAAATGGAGTAAATATAGTAAAATTAAAAATAAAAAATAAATGCAATAATGATTACTGTTTAACAATGGTAAACTGAGCAAAGGAGAGACTCTAATTTCAATCTTTTATCTTATTCCACTTTTAACTAAAATATTATTTTATATGTATATAAAATGTCCTTTATTTCTCCTGTCATTTAGAACGATCTAAATTAATGGATAATGAATTCAAATCAATTTTCAGATCACTTAAAGTTCTACACTATTTATTATTCAAAACTCAATATATGATGTTACCCCATATTTTCAATGATTTCGTGATATGATAATTTATGGATATTAGTTGTAAATGAGGTAATAGTGCCCATGTACGGAAATGCATGTTTTTTTTAATTTAAAAGTGGCCAAGATCGGATATGTGAGATTCAAGAATAGGGTGTCCACGATAAAGGTTGGAGAGATTTAAGAAATCAGGAATAATTTTTTATATAAAATTCGAAGCCCAAACACACGTAAGTTTTAAATGCCATTGTTGTCAAGGTTTGAGCGTTCGAAAATGAAGAGTTACGTAAAGTGAAGCAAATAAATTTGAATATATATATATATATATATGAAACGATTCACTTTAATTTTGAATTAAATTGTGTATTTTCTGCTAATTTGAATACTGTATTGTTACTATACTTGCTAAAATTTAATTGATACATGCTTCTAAGGTGGACTTCATTCCACATTGCACGAAACACTAGATTTACAGAATTTGGCATATTTTTTAAGTTACGTTGTAATTATTAATTCAAATTCATAATAAAATTGCGAATGTTTTCAAAGACTAATCTTAATATGCAGAAATTTAAAAATCATAAAGCGTTTTTAAAGTTTACTACAGCTTAATAAATTATTTCAATTTTCACACTGCATAACGTTATCGAATATTTATCACAAATTCTCGTTTAAATTGAGTAAGTTAAAGGCCACTCAGCAGCTAGTGCCTTATTAGAACCAGAGGTTCGCCACTTCTCTCTGTTGTCGGTTGGTCGGTTTGGTTTGATAATGTCAAAGAAGATATCGGATTTACGTGGATACGTATGCTTAGTAACTGGGGCTAGCAGAGGCATCGGCCGTGGTATTGCTATTGGATTAGGCGAATGCGGAGCGACTGTCTATATCACTGCTCGTACTCTCAACCCAAAAAATGACGACGGTCAAGGCGTGTCGGGTAGCTTAATGGAAACTGCCAAGGAAGTAACTGACGCAGGAGGTGTATGTTTTCAACTTTATTGGTTAAGTACCCTAGTGATTTTTTAAAATTATTATTTTGAAATTGTAGGTAGCTATTCCAGTTGCTGTTGACCATTCTGATGACTCCCAGGTGGCCAATCTTTTCGTTCGCATACGCCGTGAACAAAAAGGTCGTTTGGATATTTTGGTGAATAATGTATATGCCGGAGTAGACGTTCTCTCTGGAAATCTTAAACAACAAAAAACTTTTTGGGAATTGGGATCGGACGAATTGCCAGGTGTTTTCTGGGATGCTGTTAATCGCGTTGGCCTTCGGAATCACTACATCTGCTCAGTTCTTGGTACCAGAATGATGTTAGATTATCGGAATGAGTTGAATCAGGATGTTGAAAACAGTTCGAAACCACCTGAGCCACCGAGACCTGGTCTTATTTTCAATATCTCCTCTGTCGGAGGCTTGCGTCATTTTGCTGCAGTTGCTTATGGTGTTGGTAAGTTTTTCTATTTTTTTTCCAGTACAAGTCGAATTTTTATAATTTTTTCAGGAAAATCTGCTGTTGATAGAATGACAGCAGATATGGCAATTGAATTGAATGAACGGGATAAAAGCGTTGTAACAATGTCCATCTGGCCAGGCTTAGTTCGCACCGAACACATGAAAAGACTTGCCAGTGAGATCGGCAAGTTGAGTCTCGATATTAACGACCAATGTAAGTGGTTCACAAGCCCATCCCCCCATATATTTGCCCATGATTCATCATGTGATTTTCACACACTGGTATGACTCGTGTGCACAATGTGTTCTTCTTGCTCTGTCCCTTTCTAGCGGAGTCCCCCGAACTCACTGGTCGTGTTATCGCAGCTATTGCCAAAGAATCGCGGTCGGAATTAATGGCTCGTTCTGGACGCACTTTTATCGTTGCGGATGTTGCCAACAGCTATGGAATTCGAGATATTGATGGTCGGACCCCCCTCAGCTTTCGCTCCTACAAGTAATCAACCCCCCCCCCCCCCCCTCCTAAGTACACTTTACTTTGAGCCTAAAAAGGATTTTAACTTCCATTTTCTCTCTCTCTCCCTCTCTAGAGTTCTCCTCGATTTAGCAGGATGGAAGAGACTAGCTGGGTTTGTTCCAGCATTCCTAAAGGTTCCATATTGTCTCCTGAAACCGGCATCTCCTCGGTTCTAATCGGCGGCCAATTAGTTTGCTTTTCCAACTTGTATTAATTTTTCCCTCTGCAAGTTCTCTCTCTTTTTTCTATCCTCCTTCGATTTGCCAGAATAATGAGATAACGCATTAGTTAATTTATTCTTCTCTTTCCATTGGAGAGTGGGAACTGCAATAGTACACACGACCTTGGAGTTTGGGCAACGTTGAGGTCACGGGAAAAATGTAGAGATTCATCTAGTCGACTTCGACACGCGTGGATTTTATTTAAAATGCCCTCTATGTGTGCGTTAGGGAAGGCAAATTCGCGTTTTAAGATATCGCGCGTATTCTCCTCTCTCCTCTCTCTCTTGACTGACCCTAGAAAATCTGCTCAAGAATTTAACACTGCTCTTTTAAGTTCACGAGGTTTCCATGGAACTTTAAAGTTACTAATGAATTTGAAATTCTTATTTTCTGCAACAGATGCTTAAACCTACACATGATCTGCCTTGTTGATTTATTTTAACAGAGTGGCTTCCATTAGTTAAAGTTATTTATTTATTTATATCAAATGGCAGGCGTTGGGAAAGTTATCATTAGCCCTTTAGTTGACTTCAGGCTTCACGGAGGAGGAGGAACATCAAAGTGAAACAAGTCGAGAGGGAGAGGGAGAACAGAAGAGTGTTTCAAAGACGAAGGTAGATGAAAGGTGAGGTGAGTACTGTGAAAGTGGTCGAATATGACATACAGTTTGGTGATGGTAGTTTGAGGTCAGAAGTCAACTGCCAGGTAATAGACTTTTCTCCCGTATGAGTATACGTTGCCCAGGGTGCACCACGTTGAGGTAAGTCTATCGCACACCCCCCCCCCATTATTTAAAGTTAATATCTTCACAATGTTTTTAGTCATTTTCGTGTAATGACTATCAAGTAGGTAAATAGAAAAGGCCGCTAGTAAGTATTTTAAAGTGAAAAAAAACTTGACTCATAATAGTAGAGAGCGCTAAAGCTCAAAATCGCCTTGTGGGTGCAAATATTTCCTTCAATTTTCCTTTCTTGATTTGAAGTTATTTTAGGAAAATGTCCTACAAGAATTTTACATCGAACTAGGAGAGAAGCAAAAGTACATAATTTCACTAACTTTGCTTTAAGCTGCACTTTTCTCCATGTCGATAAATGTAATTAACTTAAGGCAAAGTGTTGCAAATTTCCGCCTGAGTATGTAAGACCTCATCTCCATGCTGTTATTGCCTTGATTTTGAACAAAGTTGGAAACGTTTCATTAGAATTTAACTTCTCGCTTTGAGTACCACCTTGTCAGTCATGAATTTTCGGCTGGAGGGGCTTAAAAACAGTCACCTCATATAAACCGCCCAGGTTGCCATTTTAAGGTGTGTCATTCATTTGTATTCCCCGTGAATTAATCATTTGATATGAAATGAAGCTTGTAATGCTTATTAAAAGGATCAACTTATTTGTGGCTATTTCTATTAGTAACAACATTGGGATCTGTGGACGCGAAATTTCACCCTTTTTTTCTCCATCATCACCAACTCTTCCTTCTAAAATTAGAATTCGCTTTTGATCTATTCGAGCCGATCCCGCCACAAATTGGTTCTGGGGTGCTTGAAACATTTCTTCTTCAGCGCATTTGTTGCACCAGTGCAAACGAATCTGATAGTCTGTCACGTTGGTATACATATGAGAAACTGTGGTAGTGTCAGGAGACATTATCGTCACAAATTATTTACAACATGGAGGATGACTTTCAGTTAAGCACATTGCAAAAACAGTCATGTCTTCCTTTTCTCTCCAATCGGCACCACTTGACTTTAAACTTGTAAAGTGTTGCAGAATGGGATGTGTGTGTGTGCGTGTGTTCGAGTCCTATCCTTAGGCAATACCACCACAGACGTTTCGGAGGTCGACATTCTCCTGTACTTTTATTAAGCCATTAAACCGTCACTCCAAATTCATTTCCATATGCCCTTCATAATTAACCATATTTTCACAAAATTGATTGGGAGCGGTTATCGGACGAAAGGGAGAGCTCTGCTTACAATTCTCCTTCAGAAATTTGACCTTTTGCGGTGAGATGACATTCGAAAAAAAGTGATAAAACGGGGTAGATTCAATTTTGGTGGTCGCTTCAAAAATGTGGGTTAACGAAGGCCTTGTGTGTTTATTCTTCTGGAAAATTTCTTGACTTAGCAAATATGTACCTTACTGAGAAGAAAAAATCAATCGATTTCCCTCCACCAATTTAAACAAAGAAAGTGGTTTTCAGCAGCCGAAGGCACTCCTCATGCCTAATTTCTTATTGATTTTGTTTTCATTTTTGAAACAAACTTCATCGTGTTTCTGTTTTCACTTAAATTAGCATCTTCGAAACTGAGTAGATTGTTATAGTAAAGATTTACAAAAGCTATATGGAAAATATTGCTATCTTA